GCAACATTCAGTCATCTTCTATTACAAGCTGCAACATTCAGTCATCTTCCATTACAAGCTGCAACATTCAGTCATTTTCCATTGCAAGCTGCAGCACTTAGTCATCTTCCATTGCAAGCTGCAACACCCAGTCATCTTCCATTGCAAGCTGCAGCACTCAGTCATCTTCCATTGCAAGCTGCAACACTTAGTAATCTTCCATTGCAAGTTAACCACGTACGTGTAGGGCTGAGAGCAGGTGCTAGGAAATCCACGGGGAAGACCCACGGCCACTTGAGGTCTCTTGATGGCCCGGGGGCGACCTGCCGGCGAAGCAAGATTTTAAGGGTATGTTTTATAGGGTCCTGGTAGTACAGTCGGGTTCGTTCTCGACGCACAATCGAGAATTCCGGGTTCGAATCCCGGGCGGGACAGAAATGGTTGGGCACATTTCCTTTCACCTAATGCCTCTGTTCACCTAGCAGTAAGTAGGTACTCAGGAGTTAGTCAGCTTGTTGTGGGGTTGCATCCTGGGCGGGGTCAGTAATTCGGCCTTGGGGACCTCGATAAAAGCCAAACGTGTATGAATACACTCTGGCTTCCTGTCCCCCGACACAATGAATTATTATTATAGGTTAGGTAGCCAAAAAAAGCTAGGTTAGGTTAGGTTAGGTAGGTTAGGTAGACGAAAAAACATTAATTCATGAAAACTTGGCTTATTAGGCAAATCGGGCCTTGAATAGTAGGCTGAGAAGTGCGTTCTGGCTATTAGGTACGACATATATATATATATATATATATATATATATATATATATATATATATATATATATATATATATATATATATATATATATATATATATATATATATATATAACTGAAAACTCACACCCCAGAAGTGACTCAAACCCATACTGCCAGGAGCAACGCAACTGGTATGTACAGGGATGCCTTAATCCGCTTGACCATCACGACCGGACATAACGAAGTGATAGCCGAAGCTATTTGAACCACTTCCCCGCCGGCACTCGGATGGTAATCTTGGGCATTGCATTTTATCAAATCACCTCATTCTTTGGGGCACACGTGAGGAACACAAATGCAAACAAGCCTGAATGGTCCCCAGGACTATATACAACTGAAAACTCACACCCCAAAAGTGACTCGAACCCATACTGCCAGGAGCAACGCAACTGGTATGTACAGGGATGCCTTAATCCGCTTGACCATCACGACCGGACATAAGGAAGTGATAGCCGAAGCTATTTGAACCACTTCCCCGCCGGCACTCGGATGGTAATCTTGGGCATTGCATTTTATCAAATCACCTCATTCTTTGGGGCACACGTGAGGAACACAAATGCAAACAAGCCTGAATGGTCCCCAGGACTATATACAACTGAAAACTCACACCCCAGAAGTGACTCGAACCCATACTGCCAGGAGCAACGCAACTGGTATGTACAGGGACGCCTTAATCCACTTGACCATCACGACCGGACATAAGGAAGTGATAGCCGAAGCTATTTGAACCACTTCCCCGCCGGCACTCGGATGGTAATCTTGGGCATAGCATTTTATCAAATCACCTCATTCTTTGGGGCACACGTGAGGAACACAAATGCAAACAAGCCTGAATGGTCCCCAGGACTATATACAACTGAAAACTCACACCCCAGAAGTGACTCGAACCCATTACTTATGATGCTAAAAATTGTGAAAAGGATTAAGACAAAAGAGGGCAGCAAGAGGCCACAGGATGACTTGGACAAACTGAAAGAATAATCAAACAAATGGCTACTAGAGTTTAACTCGACCAAGTGTAAAGTGATGAAGATAGGCACAGGAAGCAAGAGGCCAAACACAAGGAATCAGCTGGAAGAGGAAATTCTTCAGGAGTCAAGATGTTGAGAAAGATCTGGGGGTTGATATTACACCAGACCTATCCCCTGAAGCCCACATAAAAAGAATAACATCAGCGGCGTATGTAAAGCTGAAAACAAAGGAACTGTCTTCAGAAAATTGTGTAAGAGTCATTCAGAACTTTGAATACCTCATATTTCATACAAATACTAGAATATGCGGCTCCATCGCGGAGTCCACATCTAGTCAAACACAAAACAAAGTTAAAAAAGGTTCAGTAGTATTACATCAGGCTAGTCCTTACCTGAGAAGAATGGACTAACAGGAAAGATTACTGGAACTGAACATAACGACACTGGAAGAGAGAGGAGTTAGGGGGAGACATGATCACTACCTACAAAATTCTGAGAGGATTTGACAAGATAGATAAAGATAAATTGTTTATCACTGTAGGTACGCGAACAAAAGGACAGGTGGAAACTGAGTACACAAATTAGCCACAGGGACGTTAGAAATATCTTTTTCAGTGTCAGAGTAGTTAACAGATGGAATGCATTAGGCAGTGATGTGGTGGAGGCTGACTCCACGTACAGTTTCACATGTAAATAAGATAGAGTCCAATAGGCACAGGAAACTGAACACGATTTGACAGACAGTTGGGAAGCAGAACCAAAGAGCAAAAGCTCAACCTCTGCTTGCACAACAAGGTGAGTACTACATTCTTGATACCCCCCTCCCCGGTAAAATATGACCTTCTCTATAAGACGAAGGGCATCCGGCACCTTCTGGACCACCATTTTGTTAACAAATGCATGCACTATGGATTATTTATGCAAGAAATATTAACTAGGATAATAGTAGGAAAATTCATCACATAATTTTTTATTTATTTATTTTGTGTTTCTAAATTCAGATTTTCTGAACAAAAATCATCAAATAATGTCAGGCTTGATAGCAGATGATCAGCCATAATATCCACCTCGTCTAAATCCTCCTCCAAATCCGCTTCCGAAGCCACCTCCGAAGCCACCACCGAAGCCACTACCACCTAAGTAGCCGGGATCAGCCTCAGCGTCAGCTTCGGCACTCCTCCTTCCACGATATCCTCCCCCGAAGCCACCTCTATGGAAGCCCCCACCGATGCCTCCTCCGAAACCTCCACTGAAACCTCTCCTGAAGTGACCGGGTTCGGCATCTGGGGAAGGCTCAGCGTTTGTGGCCACCAAGCACATGGCAGCCAGGAATGCTACAACGATCTGGCGGATGAACAAATATATTAATTATACCGTTGTCTAATGTGATAGCATCAGAGATATAAGACTTGGTCATAATCGCTTTCTCCTAATATTGAGTCCCAAAAGAAGTCAAAGTATTAGTTAATGGATATTCAGAGAATGAAATCCACATAAATTTGTAATAAACATAGGTATTGTAAACGAATGAACAAAAAATGTTCATTTAAAATGCAGTAATAATTAAATTAGTTTTTTATATACTATTGTATTGAAATAAATCTAGCATATTTAATATGTAAATTTGTAAGAAAATAATATGCAGGACATTGTGCCAGACTTATAAATATTCTTACAAAATATTGTCTCACTTCTTAATAGAAGTAAAAAGTTATGAATAGAATATTTCTCAGTTGATGAGAGCCAGAAGGTGTAACTCACCAGGGTCTTCATGGCTCAGTAGTGTCAGCGTTGACTGTGAGAAACTGGATACGGTGCCGCCTTATATACCTACCATGAGACGCGCTCCGTATTCCAGGGTTTTCAAGGCTGGGGGATGACTTTTTGATCTGGTAATGCGGAAATCTCCTGAGGTATAATACAGATCACACAGTTATGAATCCTCTGTTTTTGTTTTAAGTGACAGCACATGTATGTGAATATATATATATATATATATATATATATATATATATATATATATATATATATATATATATATATATATATATATATATATATATATATATATATATATATATATATATAGGCTTCGTGGCCCGAAGAAAAAAATTATTATTCTTAAAACTATAAATTTACCCTGCAAATTGTATATTTCTACTATGCAAAACTGTATGGTTCAATCATACACAACAAAATCTTTCTTATCTTCAAACTGACATTATTTTATCTTCGCAATACTACATATTGTTACCTTGCACATCTGCATATGCTACGCCAGAAACGTATATGGTTCTATGCAACACATATACATATTTCTACCCTAGAAAAATGCATATTTCTACCGTACACAACTACATGCTTATAACCTGCAAAAACTATATTCTTCTACCTAACAAAACTACACGTTTCTACCTACTATAACTACTATTTTCCACCCAACACATTTTTATATTTCAACCTTGCAAATTTATATGCCTTTCTCGGTAGTTACATATTTAAACAATGAAAACTACACATTTGTACTCTTCACAACAATGTTTTCCATACCCTAAAATTTAAAACATTTTTACCCCAAAATCTATATATTTCTACTCTGCACAACTACAAATGTTTAACAAACACAACAACATATTTCTGCCCTACTCATCTATGTACTTCTACTTGACCACAATATATAAATGGTTTTACGAATAAAACTTCTCCTTTCTACGCTACTCAAGTGCAATTTTCAACTTTACACAACTACATATTTCTACTCTACATAGTCAGATATGTCTACCCAACAGAACCAAATGTTTCTACGTCACTAATCTACTTTATTTGGAAAGTTTTCCTAATTCTCTGTGAAAATAACGGGAATGGTTCCTGAACCATTCTCCTCTGTACTGAGGTTATCCTTACTTTCATTAATGAACTGTCACGTTAGTTTTTTTATTAATTTAATTTAAAATTTTAATTGTAGAAATATCGTCAAATTCTGAGCGCTTCAAATAAACAATTATAGCATATTAATGCATTAGTTCACCTCCTAGAGTCTTGCTTTGCTAAAACTAAATTATTTATTGCATACAATCCAGGAGATGATCAAATTTAATTTTCTTTATAGGTTATCTTTGCAGCCTTCTGTACACAGAACTACAGTTCTGACCGATCAAGCTCAACGTTGCAGGCTCATACTATATGTACTGTTAATGAATAAAAAATACATATAGTCACACACAGTTGACAGTAAACGGAATTATTGAAGTATCTAATAAAAAATTTCAAAGGGGCAGAGGAGGAGTATTTGAATATATATATATATATATATATATATATATATATATATATATATATATATATATATATATATACATATATATATATATATATATATATATATATATATATATATATGTATATATATATATATATATATATATATATATATATATATATATATATATATATATATATATATATATATATATATATATATATATATATATATATATATATATATATATATATATATATATATATATATATATATATATATATATATATATATATATATATATATATATATATAGGGGTACCACCACTGGTTTAATTAAAGGGACCCACATCCTCGAAGAAGAAAATAAATAGTGTTCAGAGAAGACCTTGTGGATTCTCACTGAATACTTTAATCTTTTCCTCTCCTACCACCCCTATTATTTTTTTTATTTTTTTTTTTTTATTTGATTTTATTGCAATGTTACAGTTTACAGAAAACACACACTTATATAACAATATAACAATATACCAATCAGTGTTCGAAGACCTCGTCCAGTTCCTCGGGGTCGGGTGCGTACCCAAGATACAGCACGCATTTCCCCTCTGAACAGCGACACTGAGGCGCTGGAACATAAAACTGGCCGCTCTTGGGTCTCTAGTCTTCCCAATGAGTTCCTCACCCAGTTCCTTCAGGAACTTAAGTGCACATTTACCTCAGGCGCCCAGAGTCTCAGAGCCTATTGGCACGAACCTGTAACAACGTTCTAGGTCCCTGTACTTGTTAGTTTTCTGGGTCTCCCTGAAGGTGGCCGCCCCGCCTCCCTCAGCTGCGCTGTAAGGTAGATAGGTATATATATATATATATATATATATATATATATATATATATATATATATATATATATATATATATATATATATATATATATATATATATATATATATATATATATATATATATATATATATATATATATATATATATATATATATATATGTCGTACCTAGTAGCCAGAACTCACTTTTTGTCCTACTATTCAAGGCCCGATTTGCCTAATAAGCCAAGCTTTCCTGAATTAATATATTTTTTTTAATTTTTTTCCTAACCAACCCTACCTAACCTAACCTAACCTATCTTCATAGGTTAGGTTTGGTTAGGTAGCCGAAAAAGTTAGGTTAGGTTAGGTTAGGTAGGTTAGGTAGTCGAAAAACAAATAATTCATGAAAACTTGGCTTATTAGGCAAATCGGGCCTTGCATAGTAGGCTGAGAAGTGCGTTCTGGCTACTAGGTACGATATATATATATATATATATATATATATATATATATATATATATATATATATATATATATATATATATATATATAAATATTTCTTCACTTTCGTATGATAGGGTTGCGCAACATTTAGTACAGAAGTCTATACTTTCATTTTATTGTAAAAAACAATATATCAGCTTAATAAAGATGACAGCCAATTTACCCGATTGTTTGTTTGGAAGGAATTAATTATCACCTCTATGAAATACCAGGTAAGATAAATAAAAATACATTTATTATTCACAGTGTGGTCTCTGACTAATCTGTTGTCGGAAAAATTGCCGTATATGTTAGAGAAAATGGATAGTAAACTTTTTAAAGGAGATTATTTATTAGAAAAATAAATGAATAAAAGAAATTACATTTTTGCAGAAAAATTTGATTCAGTACACATAATGAAGCCTGTTGATTGACCAACCAAAGAATAATTATATTTTTCAGAAGCCCGAATCACATAGATTGATATCTTTTGACCGTAAAGAGAACAAATTGTTTTTATCTTCAAATTTAATAAACATTGACATTTTTTCCTTCTTTCTTAAGTGAAATCTTTTCCACCACACCATCCAGCTGTATCACGTGCACATGTTCCTCCACGAATTGCACCAGGTTAATGCTCATACATCTGTTACTCCACAATGTACACGTGCCACTTCTACAACAGAAAGCAGAGATTCACTTTGGGAGGGGGGGGGTGAGACCTCAGACTAGCGTCATGTCAGCAACGGAGTCCCAGAGTATTCTGTACTCGGACCTATCTTGTTTCTTATATACGTGAATCATCTCCTAAAAGGTATACACTTCTTCCTCGCAATGTTTACTGATGATGCTAAAATTATGAAAAGGATTAAGACTGGGGAGGACAGCAAGAAGCTACAAAATGACCTGGACAGACTGAAGGAATTATCTAACAAATGGCTACTAAAGTTTAACTCAACCAAGTATAAAGTGATGAAGATAGGCGTAAGGAGCAGGAGGCCAAACACAAGGTGTCAGTTGGAAGAGGAAATCCTTCATGAGTCAAGACGAGAGAAAGATCTAGGGGTTGATATCACACCAGACTTGTTCCCTGAAGCCCACTTCAAAAGGATAACGTCAGCGGCGTATGTAAGGTTGGCAAACAAAGGAACTGCTTTTAGAAACTTGTGTAAGGAATCATTCAGAATCTTGTATACCTCATATTTCAGACCAATACTGGAATATGTGGCAACAGCGTGGAGTCCACATCTCGTCACACACAAAACGAAGTTAGTAAAGGTTCAATGGTATTCTACCAGGCTAGTCCCGGAGCTGAGAGGAATGGGCTTCAAGGAACGATTACTGGAACTTAACGACACTGGAAGACAGAAGAGTTAGGGGGAGACATTATCACTACCTACAACATTTTCAGAGGATTTTTCAGGGTAGATAAAGATAAACTGTTTAACACCGTAGGTACGCAAACAAGGGGACAGGTGGAAACCGAATATACAAATGAGCCACAGGGACGTTAGAAATAACTTTTTCAGTGTCAGAGTAGTTAACAGATGGAAGCATAAGGCAGTGACGTGGTGGAGGCAGACTTCATACACTGTTGCAAATGTTGATAAAATAGTGTCCAAAAGGCACAGGAATGTCTACACGAGTTGATAGACATTTGAGAGGTGGAACCAAAGAGCAAAAGCTCAACCTCCACTAGCACAACAAGGTGAGTACTACATTCTAGACCCCTCCCCCTCCCTGGTAAAATATATTCTCCTCCATAAGACCAAAAGTACTCGGTACCTCTTGGACCACTATTTTGTTAACAAATGCATGCACTATGGATTATATATGTAAGACATTTGAACTAGGATAATAGTAGGAAAATTCATCACATAATTTTGTTTTACATATTTTGTATTTCTAAATTCAGATTTTCTGAGCACAAGTCATTATATAATGTCAGGCTTGACAGGTGATGATCAGCCGTAATATCCACCTCGTCTAAATCCTCCTCCGAATCCGCTTCCGAAGCCACCCCCAAAGCCACCTCCGAAGCCGCCACCGAAGCCTCTACCACCTAAGTAGCCAGGATCGGCCTCAGGGTCAGCTTCGGCACTCCTCCTTCCACGATATCCTCCATATCCTCCCCCGAAGCCACCTCTATGGAAGCCCCCACCGATGCCTCCTCCGAAACCTCCACCGAAACCTCTCCTGAAGTGACCGGGTTCGGCATCTGGGGAAGGCTCAGCGCTTGTGGCAACCAAGCACATGGCAGCCAGGAATGCTACAACGATCTGGTGGATGAACATATATATATTAATTATACCGTTGTTTAATGTGATAGCATCAGTGATAAAAAACTTAGTTATAATCGCTTTCTCCTAACATTGAGTCCCGAAAGAAGTGAAAGTATTAGCTAATGGATATTCAGAGAACGAAATCCACATAAATTTGTAATAAAGATGGGTATTGTATAACGAATGAACGAAAAAAATTTAATTTAAAATGGAGTAATAATTAATTTAAATTTTTTTCAAATATTATTGTATTGAAATAAATTTAGCATATTTAATATGTAAATTTGTAAGAAAATAATATGCAGGACATTGTGCCAGACTTATAAATATTCTTACAAAATATTGTCTCACTTCTTAATAGAAGTAAAAAGTTATGAATAGAATATTTCTCAGTTGATGAGAGCCAGAAGGTGTAACTCACCAGGGTCTTCATGGCTCAGGAGTGTCAGCGTTGTCTGTGAGAAACTGGAGACGGTGCCGCCTTATATACCCACCATGAGACGCGCTCCGTATTCCAGGGTTTTCAAGGCTGGGGGATGACTTTTTGCTTTGGTCATGCGGAAATGTCCTGGTATAATACAGATCACTCAGTCACGAATCCTTTGTTTTTGTTTTATTAACAGCATATGTATGTTCTGTCTCTGAAATACAGATACGGATAATGGAAACATTTATAAAGTGCTTAATTAGGTTGAATGATTAGAATTGATGAGCATGTGTAGATGTGATCAAGTATTTGTGTATATATGTAATATTTAATGTTACTTTACAATTTGAATTACCATAGGTCAATATCTTATACCCTGTTGAATGAGGCTTGTAATGACAATGCTGTCCGCAAAATTGATGTGAGCAACCGCTCTGGATCTGAATGATTGTGCACGTTTCTTTTTACCCAATGCCTCTGTACACATGGCAGTAAATAATTGAGTTAGGTAACTGTTGAGAAGTAGAAGCTTGTAGATGGTTTCTAGAGCGACCATGCGGGCCTACCATGCAAACGTGAAGTACATATTTAATAAGACCTTGTGACCCGACGAAAAAAATTTTGTTCTTAAAACTATATTTCTACCCCTGCAAACTGTATATTTATACCATGCAAAACTGGATGGTTTAATCTACACAACATCTTTCTAATCTTCAAAGCGACATATTTTTACCTCTGCCATTCTACATATTGCTACCTTGCGCAACTGTATATGCTACTCCAGAAACGTATTTGGTTCTATCCAACACAAATTCATATTTCTACCCTTGAAAAATGCATATTTCTACCCTACTGAACTACCTGCTTATAACCCGCAAAAACTATATGCTTCTACCTAACAAAACTACATGTTTCAACACACCATATCTACCATTTTCAACCCAATATATTTTTATATTTCAACCTAACAAAACTACATGCCTTTCCCGGTGGTTACATATTTCTACCCTGAAAACTACACATTTGTTCTCATCACAACAATGTTTTTATACCATAAAAATTTAAACATTTCTACCCAAAAAGCTGAATACTTCTGCTCTGCACAACTACAAATGTCTAACAAACACAACAACATATTTCTGCACTACACAACTACGTACTTCTACTTAACCACAATAAATAAATGGTGTTACTTATAAAACTTCTCGTTTCTACGCAACCGAATTGCACGTTACAACTTTACACAACTACATGTTTCTACTCTTCATAGTCAGATATGTCTACCCAACAGAACCAAATATATCTACCTCACTAATCTACTTGATTTTGAAAGTTTTCTTAATTCTCTGTAAAAAGAACGGGAATGGTTCTTGAACTATTCTCCTCTGTACTGAGGTTATCCCTACTTTTCATCAATGAATTGTCACGTTAGTGCTTTGTTCATTTCATTTAAAATTTTCATTGAAGAAATGTCGTCAAATTCTGAGCTCTTCAAGTTGATAAATATAGCATATTTATACATTAGTTCACCTCTTAGAGTCTTTTTTTTGCTAAAACTAAATGATTTATTAAATACAATCCAGGAGATGATGAAATTCAATTTTCTTGATAGGTGTTCTTTGCAGCTTTCTGTATACAGTGCTACGGTTCTGGCCGACTGAGGTCAATGTTGCAGACTCAAACTACGTGAACTGTTAATGAACAAAAATTACAAATATTCACATATAGTTGAGAGTAAACGGAGTTAATGAAGTATCTAATTAAACAATTTCAAAGAGGCAGAGGAGTATTTGTATATATATATATAATTACTATCGTATGATAGGGTTCTGCAGCAATTGATACAGAAGTCTATAGTTTCATTTTATTGCATGAAAAATATAACAGCTTATTAAAGATTACAGCCAACTTATCCGATTGTTAAGGAATTATTTATCACCTCTATAAAATTCCAGGTAATTTAAACAAAAATACATTTATTATTCAGTGTGGTCTCTGGCCACACTGTGGTCGGAAAAATGGCCGAAAATGTTAGGGAAAATGGATAGTAAACTTTTTAATGGAGAATATTTATTAGAAAAATAAATGAATACAAATATATTGACATTTTGGCAGAAAAATTAGATTAAGTACACATAATGAAATCTGTTGATTGACCAACCAAAGATTAATTATATTTTTTCAGAAGCTCGAATCACGTAGATTGATATCTTTTAACCGCAAAGAGAACAAATTGTTTTTATCTTTATAATTGATTAACAAGAAAATTTTCCTCTTTCTTGAGTGCATCCTTTTCCACCCCGTCATGCACAGCTTTAAACATCAAGTGCAGCTCTTCCTCCACGAACTGCACCGGCTCAATGCTCATACATCTGTTACTCCACAATGTACAAGTCCCACTTTTACAACAACAGAAAACAGAGATTCATTGTGAGGGGTGAGACCTCAGACTAGCGTGATGTCACCAGCGGAGTCCCAGAGTATTCTGTACAAACTGAGGACCTATCTTGTTTCTGATATACGTGAATGATCTCTAAAGAGGTATAGACTCATTCCTCTCAATGTTTACTGATGATGCTAAAATTATGAAAATGATTAAGACAGGGGGAGGACAGCAAGAGGCTACAAGATGACTTGGACAGACTGAAGGAATGATTCAACAAATGGCTACTAGAGTTTAACTCGACCACATATAAAGTGATGATGATAGGCGTAGGGAGCAGGAGGCCAAACACAAGGTAACAGCTGGGAGAGGAAATCCTTCAGTAGTGAAGACGAGAAAAAGATCTGGTGGTTGATATCACACCAGAGCTGTCCCCTGAAGCCCCACAATAAAACGATAACATCAGCGGCGTATGTGAGACTGGCAAACAAAGGAACTGCCTTCATAAACTTGTGTAAGGAGTCATTCAGAACCTTGTTTACCTCATATTTTAGACCAATACTGGAACTTACGGCTCCAGCGTGGAGTCCCCATCAAGTAAAACAAAAAACGAAGATAGAAATGATTCAATGATATTCCACCAGGCTAGTCCATGAGCTGAGAGGAATGGGCTACCAGGAAAGATTACTGGAACTAAACTTAACGACACTGGAAGACAAAAGAGTTAGGGGCAGATATGTTGACCAAACCACACACTAGAAAGTAAAGAGAAGTCGACATTTCGGTCCGTCCTGGACCATTATCACTACCGACTTGATAAAGGTCCAGGGCGGACCGAAACGTCGTCGTCTCTTCACTTTCTATTGTGTGGTTTGATCAACATTTTTCAGCCACGTTATTGTAACTCCTCATCTACAGGGGCAGATGTGATAAGTAACTACAAAATTCTCCGAGGATTTGACAAGTTTGATAAAGATGTACTGTTTATCATCGTAGGTACGCGAACAAGGGGACAGGTGGAAACTAAGTACACAAATGAGCCCCAGGGACGGTTGAAATAACTTTTTCAGCTTCAGAGTAGTTAACAGATTGAATGCATTAGGCAGAGATGTGGTAGAGGCAGACTACATACACAGTTTCAAATGAAGATAAGATAGGGACCAATAGGCACAGAAATCTGTATACGAGTTAAATCCACAAGGGCCGTGATATTCTCTATCACGAGATGATAGACAGTTGAGAGGCGGAACCAAAGAGCAAAAGCTCAACTTCCGCTAGGACAACAAAGTGAATACTACATTCTTGACATCCCCTCTCCGGTAAAATATATTCTCCTCTATAAGACCAAGGGAATCCGGCACCTTTTGGACCAGCATTTTCTTAACAAATGGATTAACGCTAATATTAACACTATGGATTATATATGCAAGGAAATATTAACTAGGATAATAGTAGGAAAATTCATCACATAATTTTTAATTTATTTATTTTGTGTTCCTAAATTCAGATTTTCTGAAAAGAAATCATCAAATAATGTCAGGCTTGACAGCTGATCATCAGCCATAATATCCACCTCGTCTAAATCCTCCGAATCCGCTTCCGAAGCCACCTCCGAAGCCGCCACCGAAGCCTCTACCACCTAAGTAGCCAGGATCGGCCTCAGGGTCAGCTTCGGCACTCCTCCTTCCACGATATCTTCCATATCCTCCCCCGAAGCCACCTCTTTGGAAGCCTCCACCGAAACCTCTCCTGAAGTGACCGGGTTCGGCATCTGGGGAAGGCTCAGCGCTTGTGGCCACCAAGCACATGGCAGCCAGGAATGCTACAACGATCTGGTGGATGAACATATATAATAATTTCATCGTTCATTAATGAGAGAGAATCAGAGATAAGAGTCTTAGTCATAATCGCTTTATTCCAACTTTGAGTCCCGAAAGTTGTTGAAGTATGTTCTAAGGCATATTCAGTGTATGAAATGCTAATAAATTTGTAGCAAATATATATTTATTGTATAACGAATGAACCAATGTGTTTTAATTTAAAATACAGATTAATTAAATTTCCATTTTTTATATATATATTATTATATTGAAATAAATTTGGCATATTAAACATGTAAATATTTTACGAAAATAATATGTAGGACTTTGCACTTGACTAGTAAATACTCTTGACAATTTTGCTTCACGTCTTAAGTGAAGTAAAAATAGAGATGAATAGTATTTCTTAGCATAAGAGAGCCAGAAGGTCTTACTCACCAGGGTCTTCATGGCTCTGGAGTGTCAGCGTTGACTGTGGGAACTGGAGACTGTGCTGCCTTTTATACTCCTCATGAGACGAGCTCCAGATTCCAGGGTTTTCAAGGTTGGGGATGACTTTTTGATCTGGTCATGTGGAAATCTCTTGAGGTATAATATAGATCACACAGTCACGAATATTTCATTTTTGTTTTATTTACAGCATATGTATGTTCTGTTTCTCAAAAACAGATACAGATCATGGAGACACTTAGAAAGTGCTTCGTTGTGTTGAATGATTAGAATTGATGTACATGTGGGGATGTGGTTATGTATTCACCTAGTTGTCCTTGCGAGGGATTGAGCTCTGTTCTTTCGACCCGCCTCTCAACTGTCAATCAACTGTAACTAACTACTAACAATTTTTTTTTCCACACACACACACCCAGGAAGCAGGTCCGTAACAGCTATCTAATTCCCAGGTACCTATTTACTGCTAGGTAATGGGGGGAGGGGGGGCACCAGGGTGAAAGAAACTTTGCCCATTTGTTTCTGCCTGGTTCGGGAACCGAACCCGGGCCACAGAATTACGAGTCGTACGCGCTGTCCGCTCAGCTACCAGACTCCTGTGTTTGTGTGTGTGTGGATTTGTAATATATAATGTTCCTTTACAATTTGAATTACCAAGGGTTATTACCTAATGCCCCGTGGAATAAGGCTTGTAATGACAATGCTGTCCGCAAAGTTGATGTAAACATTCGCTCTGCATCTGAATGATTGTGCACGTTTCTTTCAACTAATGCCTCTGTTCACCTGGGAGTAAATAATTGTCCTTGAATTAAGTAACTGTTGTGGAGTTCGAGCCTGGGGAAGGTTTGTAGAGTGACAGTGCTGGATCACCATGCAAGCATGAAGTACATATATAAAACGGCTTCGTGGTCTGATACGAAAATTGTTCGTCTTAAAACTATGTTTCTACCCTGCAAACTACATATTTCTACTATGTAAAAACTATATGATTCTATCCTAAACAACTACATCTTTCTTCGCTTCAAATCTACATATTTCTCCCTCTGCAATACTACATATTGCAACTTTGCACAACTGCATGCCTATACGCCGGCAAAAGTAATGTTTCTACCCAACACAACTATATATATCTACCCACCATAACTACATTCTTCTTTCCGACACCTTTGTATATTTCAATCCTGCAACACTACATGCTTTTCCCTGCAGTTACATATTTCTACAATGAAAACTACACATTTCTACTTTAATAATAATATTTGTTATCCTAAAAAAGAAAATATTTCAACCCAAGACGCCTGACAGCTGGGTGGACAGCGCTTCGGATTCGTATTCCTGAGGTTCCAGGTTCGATCCCCGGTGGAGGCGGAGAGAAATTGGCAAAATGTTTCACCCTGATGCCCCTGTTACCTAACAGTAACAGGTACCTGGGAGTTAGACAGCTGCTACGGGCTGCTTCCTGAGGGAGGAGACCTGGTCAATGACCAGGCCGCTGGGACACTAAGCCTCGAAATCATCTCAAGATAACCCTAAACAACTATATATTTATACTCTTCACATCTATAACTGTCTAGCAAACACAACTACATAGTTCGGCGCTACACATCTATGTACTTCTACTTTACCACAATATACAGAAAGTTATAGATGGTTTTACTTATACAACTTCTTGTTTCTATGCTACACAATTGTTTGTTGCCACTTTACACAACTACATTTTTCTACTCTACATAGTCACATATGTCTACCCAGCAGAACCAAATGTTTCTACCTCACTTATCTACTTGATTTTGAAAGTTTTCCTAATTCTCTGTGAAAAAAACGGAAATGGTTCTTGAACCATTCATTCTCCTCTGAACTGAGGTTATCTTTACTTTTCATTAATGAACTGTCACGTTAGTGCTTTACTTATTTCATTTAAAAGTTTCATTGCAGTGATGTCGTCAAATTCTGGGCGCCTTAAATTGACAATTATAGCATATCAATACATTTGCTCACCTCTTACAGTCTTGCTTTACTAAAACAAGACTATTTATTGCATGCAGTCCAGGAGAGGATCAAATCCAATTTTATTGCTGGGTTCTCTTTGCAGCCTTCTCTACTCAGAGCTCCAGTTCTGGCCGACCGAAGTCAACGTTGCAGGGTCATACTATATGTACTGTAATGAATAAAAAATACAAATATTCAAACATTACTGACAGTAAACGGAGTTAATGAAGTATCTGATTATAATTTTTCAGAGGCAGAGGAGTATTATATATATAATAACTTTCGTAGGATAAGGTTCAGCAACATTTGACACAGAAGTCTTTATATTCATATTATTGTATAAAAAAAGGAAAAATAAAAAAAAGATGTCAGCCAGATTGTTTGGAAAGAATAAATTTTCTCCACTATAAAATACCAGATAATTTCAAAATAAATACATTTATTATTCATAGCGTGGTCTTCTCCGACCGCCAGGGAAAATGGACAGCAAACATTTTATTGGAGATTATTTATTAAAAAATTAATGGATACAAATATTGATATTTTTGCAGAAAAAATGAGATTTAGTACACATAGTGAAATCTGTTGATTGACCAACCAAAGATAATTATATTTTGTCAGAAGCTTGAATTACACAGAAAGATATCTTTCAACCGTTAAAAAAACAAACTGTTTTCATCTTCAAAATTGATAAATAAGGACATTTTTCCCTTCATTCTTGAATGACATCTTTTTCACCACACCATGCACCTGTTTAAACATCACGTGCATCGGTTTAAACATCACGAGTACCTGTTTCTCCACGACTTGCACCTGCTTAATGATCAAACGTCTGTTACTCCACAATGTACAAGTGCCACTTCTACAACAAATGGATGCTGAGAGTTACTGTGAGGGGTGAAACCTCAGACTAGCGTGATGCCACCAGCGGAGTCGCTCAGTATTCCGTACTCGGACCTATCTTGTTTCTGATATACGTGAATGATCTTCTAGTGGGTATAGACTCATTCCTCTCAATGTTTACTGATGATGCTAAAATAATGAAACGGATTAAGACAGGATGAAAGCAAGAGGCTACACTATGTCCTGGACAGACTAAAGAAATTATCCGAGAAATGGGTACTAGAGTTTAACTCGACCAAGTGTAAAGTGATGAAGATAGGCGTTAGAGCCTATCTTCAAGGAAGATATATATAAGTAAGGAAGCAACACAGTATATCAGCTGGGAGAGGAAATCTTTCAGGAGTCAAGACGAAAAAAAAGATCTGGGGGTTGATATCACTCCAGACCTGTCCCCTGAAACTCACATCAAAATGATAACATCAACGGCGTATGTAAGGCTAGCAAACAAGGGAATTGCCTTCGGAAACATGTGCAAGGAATCATTCAGAACCTTATATACCTCATATGTCAGACCAATACTGGACTATGTGGCTCCAGTGTGGAGTCTACACCTAGTCAAACACAAAGCGAAGTTAGAAAAGGTTCAGTGGTATTCCACCAGGATAGTCCCTGAGCTGAAAGGAATGACTTACAAGAAAAGAATAATGGAACTGAACCTCAGGACACTGGAAGACAGAAGAGTTAGAGGAGACATGATCACTACCTACAACATTCTCAGAGACTTTGACAAGGTAGTTAAAGATAAACTGTTTAACACCGTTGGCATGCAAACAAGGGGAGCAAGTGGAAACTAAGTACACAAATGAGCCACACAGATGCTAAAAATAACTTTTTCAGTGTTAGAGTAGTTAACAAATGGAATGCATTAGGCATTGATATGGTGGAGGCAGACTCAATACACAGTTTCACATGTATATATGATAGAGCTCAGTTGTCTCAAGAATCTCTATACGAGTTGATTTACTGTTGAGAGGCCGGACCAAGGAGCAAAAGCTCAACCCCCGTTAGCACAACAAAGTGAGTACTACATGCCTGACATTCCCCACCAGGTAAAATACCTCTATAAGACCAAGGGTACCCTCCACATTTTGGACCACCATTTTGTTAACAAATGCATGCAATATGGATTATTTATGCAAGAAATAATAAACAGGATAATGGTAGAAAAATTCACCACAATTTTGTTTTATATATTTTATGTTTCTAAATTCAGATCTTCTGAACAGAAGTCATCAAATATTGTCAGGCATTACAGTTGATGATCAGCCGTAATATCCACCCCGTCTAAAGCCTCCGAATCCTCCTCCGAATCCGCTTCCGAATCCACCTCCGAAGCCACCACCGAAGCCTGTACCACCTAAGTAACCGGGATCGGCCTCAGGGTCAGCTTCGGCACTTCTCCTCCCACGATATCCTCCCACGAAGCCACCTCTTTGGAAGCCCCCACCGATTCCTCCTCCAAAACTTCCACCGAAACCTCTCCTGAAGTAGCCGGGTTCGGCATCTGGGGAAGGCTCAGCGCTTGTGGCCACCAAGCACATGGCAGCTAGGAATGCTACAACGATCTGGAGGATGAACATATATATATTTATTACGTCGTTCAATAATGTGAGAGAATCAGAGATAAAAGTCTTAAGTCACAATCTTTTTATCCCAACATTGTGTCCCGAAAGATGTTGAAGTCTTTTCTAATGTATGTTCAGTATATGAAATGCAAAAGAATTTGATGCAAAGATGTTTATTGTATAACGAATGAACCAAAGATTTTCATTTAAAAGACAGTATTGATTCAATTTGCTTTTTGTAAATATTTATTATTATTTTGAATTAAATTTAGCATATTAAACATGTAAATATTTTGATAAAATAATATACAATATATTGCACTTGACAGGTAATTACTCTTGAATATTTTAGTAAAATGTAAAGTTAAAAATAAATATGAATAGTATATTTCTTAGCATAAGAGAGCCAGATGATGTAACTCACCAGGGACTTCATGGCTCAGGAGTGTCAGTGTTGACTGTGAGAAACTGGAGACGGTGCCGCCTGATATACTCACCATGTGACGCGCTCCGTATTACAGGGTTTTCAAGGCTGGGGATGACATTTTAC